ATGGACCTATCTGTATGTATATATATATATATATATATATATATATATACACACAGTATATATATATATTATCAAGTCAAATGTCTTTTAGTATAATTGTACAAACGCCTGCCTTCAGCTCGTGCTTCATGTGTCTTTTTGCTGTCAAATCTTTACAAATTTTTATAAAGTAAATGTAAGAATAACATTGATATTGTTAGTAATATTTGAAAATGAACACTTACTGGACTAAAGCAGCTCAGCTTTACTTGATTATCCAGACATCTTTTTTTTCATTTTTGAGTCTCAAATATGATCATCAGGCTTTTGAGAAATGTTTATTTGTTCATTTCTCAATTATCATCGTGTTGCATTGCATTATATGTTTTGATAATCGAACTAAGCATTTAAATATCATCTTACTAAGACATATTATTGGAGATATAGAGTGACGACTGATATTTATCTGATGTACTGTTATAAACATCTTATTGATTTACGTGACAAGATATTTATTTTTGTTTCAGTTTTACAGAACCATATTTCATCACTTCAATTATCACACCTTTATAGAAAAATGAATGAGACTTCCAGAACCCAATGGTTTTGCCCAATCACAACTGTCAACAGATTTCAACTGATTAAGATCTAGTGATCATCGTCTAACTGGACTCACCTCTTCATAGCGAGTCTTTGTGATGCTGATCCATGATTTGATGGTGATGACAGAGTCTGGATGACAGGAGGACAGAATCTCCTCGCCCAGTGTGTGAATGTTCTCGAGCGCCGTCTGCTGAGTGTTCAAGGAACTCATCGACTCCTGCAGATCACAAAGACAATGATGTGAAACTCATATGATACCAATCTCTGGAGTAATAAACGAGTCCATGTCCGCCGTACCTGATGACAGGTAAGAAATGCCAGAAGAGCCTCCTCTTCCTCAGGCAGCACTCCGTACTTCAGGACCCTCTCAACATCCCAAAGATGATCCAGGAACGAGTGAACCATTCCATCGAACTCTTCCGCCTGAGAACAAATATGATGGGATTATCAAATATGTCTGAATGTACCTCACAAACGTTCATCACCATCAAAATGTACAGTACAGTGTTATTTACTTTGTAATCATCAATATTTATTAATGTCTTTATGCTTTAAGCTTTAGTACTTTTTTGTGTATTTTAGCCATTTCTATTAGTTTTTGCATTTTAAAATATCTTTTAATTTTGATTTCAGTTTTAGTTTTAGTAATTAGTCATTTATAAGCTAAAAAAGAGACAGTTTGCCTTTGCAACTAACTGAATATTCAGTTTTATTTATGTTAACAGTAACAACACTACAGTACCTTGAATGTTATGTAAGTGCTTGGGATTAAAGTGTCAGCTAAATGCATAAATGTAACTATAAGTGTTTGTGAAAGAAGGTGCTGTGATTATCAGTGGCGTGTGCTGGTACCTGTTGCAGCGCGGCCTCTAGTCGAGTCTGTCTGGACACAGAGAGTTTACACACGGCCTCCCAGCGGCCCTCCAGCTCCTCCATCTGCTCCTGCAGCCAGTGTGCATCAGCCGTGCTGCTCCGCGTCAGATCCCTGACCGAGCGCTTCAGCGTGCGGATACAGCTGGCACGCTTCCCGAGCTCCCGCTGGAACACCTGCGCATCAGAGGAGGAGCAGAGCTCACCTACAGCAGACTATAGACTACCGATAACACACTGAGTTCATATGAGACCCGTGCTGGCAAAATGAGTCGGAATGCGCACGGAAGGCCAATTTTGAGCTACATGCAAAAAAAGTGGAAAATGTCGATTTTGGTCAAATTTGAGGTTTTCACAAAAACGAGGAGTCAATTAAGCCCTCGTCTAGTGATCCCAATGCTCCAAATAGTATTTAAACATCTAAAATGATCTTTATTTGTATGTTTTCTGAGAGCAGTACCTTTTTCTCTGCTCTCTTCTTGCGCTGCTGCTGACAGACGTATGAATCACGCACATAACGATCCCGATAACATACACATACTGTATACACAGAATTACAGTATTTAAGTAGGCTATTCACGCAAACATAATCAGTTATGTCTTAAGTCAACGTTTGGGGAACTGTTGGGGAAAACATCTGATGTGTAACATTATATTAGATATAAGTCTTAATATAGGCCGTCTGTCTCATTAATGTTAGTCTAACAAGAAAAGAAGAGATCGCTGCTCTTGATCGAACTGCATTTGTGGTTTTAATAAACAATTTATGTTATATTGAAGTGAGTTTTATATTTGATTATTTGTTTTTCTTACTTGAATGCATTTGTTTAGATTTAAAATGAAAAAGTAATTTAAATTTTTTTTTTTTTTTTTTTTTTTTTTTTTTGCATCTGTTCTTATTTATAACAACAAAGATAAAATAAAAATAGCAATATTGTGATTATTAATACAGTAATGATTACTAAAAAAAGACCTGGAGGAAAAGATGCAATGTTGCTAGGTTTTGCTTTGGAACCTTCAGAAAACTTTAACTTGATTTTTCTCGAAATGGATTTTGCTAACTTCATCGACTTCAAACAGGTGTTGCTGTTTTTCATTTTTTTGTCTGATTCCAACAACTCATATATCATTTTGAAGGTATTTTACTGGAGAATGTAACAATAAAAATAACTAATTTTTGAAAATTGACTCATTTTACTCTGAGACTTGCTGTACCTTGTGCTTGTCTATCAGATTGCTGACCAGGTCTTTTTCACCACAGACAGGTACATCTTCAGCCAGCTGTGGCTCGGCTCTGTACAGCCAGTCATTAAGAGCCTGCAGAGCGTCAGTGAATCTGCCTGAAAACAGCAGAGCCTCTTCCAGCTTGTGCTGCCTGGGGACAGAAAAGCGGAGTTTAGAGCTCAGAAACAGACTCACAGTGCACTACCGATAACATACACATACTGTATACACAGAATTACAGTATTTAAGTAGGCTATTCACGCAAACATAATCAGTTATGTCTTAAGTCAACGTTTGGGGAACTGTTGGGGAAAACATCTGATGTGTAACATTATATTAGATATAAGTCTTAATATAGGCCGTCTGTCTCATTAATGTTAGTCTAACAAGAAAAGAAGAGATCGCTGCTCTTGATCGAACTGCATTTGTGGTTTTAATAAACAATTTATGTTATATTGAAGTGAGTTTTATATTTGATTATTTGTTTTTCTTACTTGAATGCATTTGTTTAGATTTAAAATGAAAAAGTAATGCACTACGCCTATTTGTTTCTTATATTTGTTCTACTGTTTGCATTAAACGATAAAAGAAAAGAGCGACTCACTTGCTGCTCTTGATTGAACTGCTTTTGTAGTTTTAATAATCAATTTATTTGTATTGAACACACTGAAGCGACTTTTTTGATTATTTGACTTTCTTACGTGAATGCTTTTGTTTAGATGTAAAATGAAACAAGTAATACACTACACTTGTTTCTTTCTTATATATATATATATATATATATAGTACATCTTCAGCCAGCTGTGGCTCGGCTCTGTACAGCCAGTCATTAAGAGCCTGCAGAGCGTCAGTGAATCTGCCTGAAAACAGCAGAGCCTCTTCCAGCTTGTGCTGCCTGGGGACAGAAAAGCGGAGTTTAGAGCTCAGAAACAGACTCACAGTGCACTACAGAGCTCCCGTCGGCTCCCCTCTCGCTGGATTTGCCGCTGATGGTGTCCCATGAGTCTCTGAGCTCAGACACCATGTTCTCCAGGTGCTGTGTGTCTTCAGGACTCTGGGCTTTCTCCTGCAGCGAGCGGCCTCTCTTCAGACAGGCCTCGTACATCGGCCGCTTCAAGCGGAGCAGCTTCTGGAACTCCTGAAAACATACAAATTCACCTTATAAATGGACCGACTGAACTGACTGCTTCGGTGGTGAAATTTCCAGTGTGGTTTATACAGTTTTTTATATACTCCACTGTCAAGTTTTACTTTACTGAGGGTTTTTACAGCAACTTTTAACGGGCACCATCATCAGAAATAACTCCTTAAGAATTTATCCATCCTTTATTTTTTATGGAAACCTTTTTCCGCTCACAATTCAGACTTTTTTCCTCCTAATTCTGAGCTTCTCATAATTTGGACTTTGTTTCTCGTAGTTCAGAGTTTTAATATTTAACAATTCAGACTTGTTTTCTCTGAATTCTGAGTTTATATCTCACAATTCAGTTTTGTTTTTTGCCAAATAATAAGAAATAAAAAGGTTATTGCAACTTTTTATCTCACAGCTTTGATATCTTTTCTCACATTTGCAAGTTTACATCTCGCAATTCTGAATTTATATCTTACAATTCTGACAATTTGACAGAGTTTATATCTTGCAATATATACTGCTATATCAGGGTCGAGATGCACCGATACTAAATTTCTCAGCCAATACGATACCAAGTTTAGTTTTCTTAAAGGGGAAAAAAGTTCTCCCAACTAATGCTGTAAAGTGTAAACTATACACAGTGTACTATACATAGAACCCTCTCATTTGGTACATAATATTAGAGGTTAAAATTAATAACAAAACTATTACATTCAGTGCCATTTATTTTCAGATATAATAATCACACTCAAATAAAAATGTTTGTATACAACTCAATTGCACATAAGTTAGTTTTCATAAAAACTTGACTTCATGACAGATTTATTGAAATATAAATATGTAACTAATAGTAAATAAGCTCCCTCTAGTGTTTTGATAGCTAATTAACAAACTTGGATAACTTTCCTGAGGGAAATGCAATGCTAATCCCAGCAGGCACACAATGTCATAAGATGGTGATATTTGGTTACATTTCGGTTGCGACGTCGGGTGATTCAATGTCAGTTCAACGTCTAATGTCAATGTTAATTTGATGTCCAATACCGACATCAGCTGACGTTGATATTTGTTATTTTTAGGTTGTGTAACCAAAATCCAACGTTAAGTCAACGTCAAATTGACGTCAAATACTGATGTAAACCCCATTTTCATTTTCAACCAAAATGCAACGTCAACCTGACGTTATATTGACGTCCTGTGCCTGCTGAGAAGTGACACTGTTATTTGACGTCTTTCTTTCGGTTGAAACGCTGATTGAGCAACTATATGAGACATCATACAGTTCGGTAAGTTGTACTATAAATTTTAACATACCTTCTGATGTTCTTTCACGTTTATTTCTCACTTTGACTTTTATTAAAGTGGAAGAGACTCCGCGCTACCGCTTGAACTGAAGCTGCTACAGTGATCTGTCACGCCACATTTAAGAGCATCAAAACGGCATTTATTGTTAGAATTTTGTGAAAAATGGACAGAATTTGAGAGTTTAGACTTTGTTTCATATCAGAAGTAACAAACCAAAGCCCTTTGCGATTACTGGATGGGTGGCGCGGTACAAATAATGTTTGGAGAAGGTCAAAACCGTGGATTTGGCAACCTTGGCTCGAACTGCGGGTGATTCACAAGGTCAGTCAGAACCCGCATTAACAGTTCTGCGTTAATGCGTTATTGCTTTAACTTGGACAGCCCTAAATTTGACACACGAAACATTTTCTTTATGCAAGTTGCTGTTTGAAACATTTTTCGGTTTCACTTTATTCATTCTACTAACAGTAAGTAACGTTGCAACTACATGTCAACTAATTCTCATTAAATTGCAACTACATGTCTACAAACTCTCAGAGTAGACGGTTAGGTTAGGTTTAGGGTTAGTACACTCTAAAAAATGCTGGGTTAAATACAACCCAGTGCTGGGTAAACTAGTTGACATGTAGTTGCAAAGTTACTTACTGTTAGTAGAATGTCTAAAGTGGACTATCGAAATAAAGTGTTACCCATTTTTCTACCACCTTTTGATCGACAGGGTATAATCGGCCCTGATCATCGACTGTTTTTAAGCAATCGGCTGATGGCTGATAGTACAAGTAATTGCTTTATTGGTCGACACCGATTATTGGCCGATACATTGGTGCATCCCTAATTCAATGTCAATTCTACACCATTTTTTTCAGTGTACTATGACTTTTTTTTTTTTTTTTTACAAATACATAAACAAAGTTTTAAGTTTGCCGGAAATTATTTGCCGTGTAAGTGCAGCACTGGCCTAAAGGCTAAACTGTCACCTGACCCGACACTCTCTTACACTGGCCTCAGACCAGCAGACCATCGTTGCTGAGTCCTGAGATGTGAAGTACCTTTTGTTCAGTGAGCTGCTGTTTGATCTCTTCCTGTGACACTGCGATCTCTTTGTGTGTGTCCAGCGTCTGTTCAACCTCCGTCATCCAGTCCACCAGCAAGTGCCATGATTCACTGAACTGTGGAAGTGAAAAGCACAGAAGTTTAGTATTTGCCAAATGATTTCCTGACAACAGAGGACTTTCTGTAGGTCTTGTAGTTCATATGAGAGGTCAAAACCTGTTTAGCATGTCTTTTGGCGTCCTCGAGTGTTTTCCCCCTGTCTGTGGTGTGTTGGAGGAGTTTCTTGAATCGGTCCTGAACGGTCATGATCAGGTTCTGCACCACATCACAGTCTTCCTTCCTGCTGAGCTCGGACAGACGTGTGGCAGCGGTTTCCACACTCATCTTCCTCTCTCCGTAAGACTGCACCTCACCTACCAGCACCTGCAGACGACAGGACTGAATCACACCAGCACTCACAGCAGCACACACACAGACGCAGACGCACGTACCCTGTGCTCCTGAAGCTGAGCGCAGATGGTGTCCAGGATGAAGCTGGGCGCAGGCAGAGTGTTTATGGTCTCCTTACACTTGGCCATTTTGGTCAACAGGTCTTGGACATTACTGTTAAACTCCTTTGCAAGACCAAGTCCCTCTGTTAACTTTGCCTACAAAAATCAGGTATATCATAGTTGACTAAACTAATACTGCACTTTGAATAAACTGTTACTTTAAATACAAAAAAAAAGAAATTTAACTGTAATAAAACTAAAATTAAATATAAAAATAAAAAATGTATTAGTTGCCAAAGCAACATTTCTCATTGTCATTGTTGTTAAATAAAAATAACTTAAATAAAAATACAAATTATAAAAATTATATAGCCATAAAAAAAAATTACTTATTACAAAATAAAAAATTATATTATTACATTAAAACGAATTACAACAGTATCTCAATGACACTAATACTATATATTATACTAAACATACACATTCAATACTTCAACAAATGTTGCACACCATTTCCAAGCAATTCCATATCATAACATAAAATTATTTTTAAAACCTTGATGGAAAAGTATTTTGTTTCTTTTAAGATTAGCCAGTAGAGAAATATTTTAAGCATTTTACTTTAAAATGTTAATGTCAACACAGCCACACTTTTGGAGTGCATCACATTCTAATTACTTTGGTTACATTTTACAATAAGGTTCCATTTGTTAACATTAGATAACTTCATTAGTTATCATGAACTAACAATGAAAAATACTTCTAAAGCATTTATTAATCTCATTGAATGTTAATGTCAACATTTATTCATATTTTATTAAAATCAAAAGTGATACCTTTTAATATTATTTATTCGACCTTGTTGGCATGAACTAACAATAAACAGTTGTATTTTTAACTAAAACTAATGGAGCTAATGTTAACAAAGATGAATAAATGCTGTAACAAATGTATTGTTCATTGTAGTTTATGTTAGTTAATGTATCAACTAATGTTAACTAATGGGACCTTACTGTAAAGTGTTATCGTAATTTTTAAGTTGGGGTCCAAATCTATTCCATTCTATTAACTATGATTTTGCCTCAATAAACTCCTAATTAGCTGCTTATTAATAGTTAGTAGGTAGTTGTTAAGTTTAGGTACGGGGTTTAAGGATTAAGGGATCTAAAATATGGTCATGCAGAATAAAGCATTTATAGGTGCTTTATAAGTACTAATAAACAGCTTCCTCCCAGGGACCTGTGAGGAAAAAACAGCGGGGCAAAGGGGTCGAGCGATCGGCCACGAGCGAGCTCACGCCGGCCCAGATCCCGCGTGCCTCGCTCTCGCCGCAGAGAGAGTGTTCTCCCGTCCTTTTCTCCCAGTCTTATCAGCGTCCCTCTGCTGGTGCAAGTGATCTGATCTCATTTGGGGGAAGTGGAGACGAGCTGCTCTATGACAGCATGTCACGTGCAGTTTCACTGCGTGAATGAAATAGGCTTCAGTTCAGGAGAAAAAAGGCTTTTTCCCATATGTGTCTTAAGCAAGACGGAGTACTCGTTCCCGTATCTCAGGGAACCGAGGTTACGTTAGTAACCGAGTATGTTCAGCATGCAGAATTAAAGTCCTCATTACCAAATGAGCGTTCAGTCTCTCGTTGGCAGAGTCTGGCATTCCCCACACGGTCTTACTGGATGACAGCCTCAGGTCTGTGTGCTCCAGCCACTGCAGGAGATCCTGGATCTCCATGGTTACGTCCTGAACCTGCAATCCAGTTATAAGGGCTGAGTTTATAATACACACACACACACACACACACACGCTCTCACACACACACTCTCACACACACTCTCACACACACACGCACACACACTCTCTCTCTCACACACACACACACACACACACTCTCTCTCTCACACACACACACACACACAAGGTATAAGTTTCTATTGCATTTCATAGAATCCTCTCACGTGTAAATATCAAAAACTATTTGATTTTTCATTTCACGACCCATTTAACTGGAACTGGAGACTCACTCTGACCATAACAATAAATAAATCTGTAAGTTGTTGACTCTAGAACAGCTGTAATCAGACCATGAATTAATCATTCAATGCGACTGGTAAACAATTCAACAGGCTACTTGAAAAGAATCTGCTCAAAAGTGTAACAACATGAGGAAAAATCCTCCAAAAAGTACCAAAAAACTTTTTTCCTTTTCTTTTTTCTAACAAAGAAGTGTCATTTTGACCTGGAGAGGAATTTCTCTTTTTTTTGCTACTGAATGTTATTGCACTGGACTCACTGACTTGGCTCACACAGGGTATAACAACTTCCCCCTCAAAAATAGGTTAATATTTGTACTTTCTGGGGATTTGGTGTTCTTTGGTGTTCCCAGTCACAAAAAAACAAAAAACAAAAGAAAAACTGGCCCGCTTATGAGTATCTCATTATGCTGCATTATTGCCAAATATTGATTTGAATCCTTTTGTCAAATTGTTTTATTTCAATTAGCAGGTTCTGTACTTCATTTTGGAACTAACTGGTTGAAGGCCTCGTTGCTCTGAACTTATGCACCTCAGTTTTGGAGTGAGCATTGCCAAAATAATCTACAATGCTTTTTTCACTCAAAACTGGAAGTGCATAAATTCGGATCAATGAGGACTATGATCAGTCAGTTACAAAAAGAAATACAAAACCTGAAAGAAAAGATTGAATCCAAGAATTGGTAATAATATAGCATAAGAAATTTACAAGCAAAGGTCAGTCATTTTTGACTGAGCACCAAATTAGGTAAAGGATTTTCAGCACAGCACAAGGGTTAAGGATTATGCAATTTTTTTGAGAAAAAGGGGAACAAACATATGAGACAATGAGACTGAGACCAACTAAAACCATTCTGTTTTCATGAATTCTGTAATCTGGTTTATTTGCTGGTCACCTGACTGAGGTTATTTTCCAGCTCTAGCTGTCTGCGCTCTGTCTCACAGCGCACAAATTCCCAGCGTTCGTTCAGCTGTTCCAGACGAGTCTGCAGGACATGTGAACTGTCTCCCGCCCCAGACTCCATCAGGTTTCTGCCGGCCTGGTTCAGAGAGTCTACCGTTTGCACATGGGACATCACATCATTCCGCAGAACCTAAAGGCACACAACAAGCACTTTTGTTTAAAAGTAGTAGCCAGTATACAGTACAGACTGTGTAAATGCTGTGTAGGATGCTGTAAGCAGTGGCTGGAGTGAACGTGATTTCACCAAGTACAACATTCTAATCAACCAATTGGAATTGAGGGATACAGTACATTTAAAGAAAATGACAGTTTTAGGCTTACAACCAGGGTTACATGCTTCTGAACCTTTGTTATTCAGCTATCATTTCCCTCTGATTTTAGGGATAAGTTATGGGTAGGTTTAGGAGTACACTCTTCAAAATAAAGGTGCTTAAAAGGTTCTTCACAGTGATGCCATAGCAGAACCCTTTTTGGTTCCACAAAGAACCATTCAGTCAAAGGTTCTTTAAAGAACCATCTCTTTCTTACCTTTTTATAATCTGAAGAACCTTCTTTCTCCACAAAGAAGCTTTTGTGAAAGAGAAATGTTCTTCAGATGTTAAAGGATCTTTATGGAACCATTTAGTCAAAAAAGGTTCTTCTATGGCATCGTGAATCACCTTTATTTTTAAGAGTGTAGGGATAGGGTTAGGTCTATGTTTTTGAAGAGGTTGATCCAGGAACATGTCTTACGTGGCTGTTTCACATACTATTTTTAAAAGCAGTAGCCAGTATCCTAGCTAGCATAAATATGTTTTAAGAATGTTTGATAATAGTTAGTAAGGTAGTTGTTCAGTATTAGTTTTTTTTTTTTTTTAAATATATGTTTTAAAAACCTTTTTTCTTGGTTATATGAACATTAAGCAAACATTCAAACATTATGGGAATGCTATTTTTGAATGTTCTCTGAACGTTTTTAAGTAAGTAGGAACATTTAAAAAATTGCTAGAACATCCAACTAAAACGTTTCTGAAATAAACTGTTGCACTGTTGTAGAACTGTTGTTCATAACTTTGAGAGAACCTTGCTAGAATTTTAGGTACTAAATTCAGCATTCAGTAAGCAGTACACTAGCGTTTCATTCGAAATGAGCAAAAATCACTGCAAAAGTGAGGACACAACATTGGCAAGAATGTGCCAATTAATGCCTTAGGGTTTGTGTTTGTACCTTGTGCTTGGCTAGCTCTATCTCACAGGTTTGCAGGTCAATGCTGATTGACTGAGAGGCTTGCAGTAGGTCAGCCGTGTGGGAGAGCCAGGCGTGCAACTCATCAAGAGTGTTCTGGAACTGACCCAAGCCCAGCAGTGCACACTCCAACTGGTGCTGCTCGAAAACACAGTGCTCTCGTTGAAGTACCATTATAATGAAACAGTATTTTTTTTTTCCATTTAGCTGAGATTTTACCTGTCTGCTGACAGTCTCTGACTCCAAGTTGTCCCATCGCTGACGGAAGTCACACAGTGGAGAGATGGACCCAGGCCGCTCAGTGCCCGGGGAAAGGCGACACACAAAGCGATGGTTTAGACTCTCAATCTCGATCTTCTTCTTATAGAGCTCTCGCTTAAATTCCTGAAAGGAGAGGTGATGGAATCACCACTAATTTGTTTGTGACACAGTTTTCAGTTTCTCAAGGTAAGTTTGTGTGCTCTAACCTTCAGGTCACATAGCTGCTCTTTAACTGATCCCAGGTCAGATCCCACTGAGAACTCCTCGGTGGATTTCAGCTCTGCAGACTTCAGCCACTCAAAGAGTCCCTTCAAGAGAATGTCATATTTTTAAACTTGCTTTTGTAGTGTTCTCTTGACCCACTCTATAGTATATGAATATTCATAAGTGCACATTGTCAATTTCTTCCATTGTCTCATGAAGTCAGTGCAACCAAGAAGAGAATTCGTTGAAATATGCTGACTTTAATCCAAATTCTCTATGGCTAGCTTTGGTGTCTCTAGAAGGGCATCCAAAAATCGGCCAGTCTGTTAGAGACTCATCACTACAACCACATGGAGGCATGAATTTTGAAATACTACAACTGTAGACAGAGACCTACCACCACTGGACGAGACAAGATAGAAAAAGTAACGAACAGACCATTCTTTGTGATTGTGTTTGGAAGTTTTCTACAGTAAGTACAAACTTCATTAGGTAGGGTGACCATACATACTTTTTCTAAATTGCCTAAAATGTCTGGGTTTTGGCTTTGTTTTCCTGTTGTTTTCATACTTGCTGAAGGTAATGACTGAAAATTAGCTTGACCAATAGCATGTAGGCATTGTACACAATCGACCAATCATGGCGTGTGAGAAGGTGGGATCAACAGAGAACAGTCAAAGCAATGCAAATATGCATGCATAAAATTTATGAGGACAGTAGAGAGAACATCAAATAAATTAAAATAAAGCCAAAACTTGGACATTTTAGAAATCCTGGCCAGGACATGTCCAATCTGGAAAAATGAGGATGTATAGTCAACCTACATTAGGAATGCCTTGAAAGGAATTGAAACTAACTCACCTGCATACTGTCCTGATAATGGAGAGCCATTCGTAAACATTCTTCTAACTTACTGTTGCACTCTGTCCAGATCTTACTGAGATTGTTCCACGTGCCATAAAGCTGCAGAAAAAGACAGCTGGATAGTGAGATGTGAACAAATGACTGCAAGATGTACAACAGTTTCTGCGAGGATTATTCTCATTTCAGTTTCAAATACAAACCTCATCCAAACATTTGGTGACCTCTGGCTTGTCTGTGTCACCACAAGCTGACATGAGTTCCATTCCCAGAATTCCTAGTGTGTCCAGGTCACCTTGCAGAGAATCAATGTCCTCCCTGAGTGTCTGAGAAGGAAGGATAAGAGAGTTTTAATGGTATGAGGCATTGCGTTAATTCAAAACTTTCAGGACGCAATGAGGAAATATTCTTAAATAACCCTGCTGAAAGAACAAAACCAGGTAATGAGCATATGTTCTGTTTTGGACGCTGGTCAAAAACATGGGATGTACTTCTAAAAGCTGCTAAGTAAAACTAGCAATATTACATTGGTCAACCAGCTTCGCCAGTATTTCTGGTTCCCCAGCTAGACCAACACTAAACCAGAAAGGGCCAGCCTGGACCAGCATAGAGCAGAGCAACATTGACCACAGTATCATTTTTGTAGCCTACCTGCATGGTCTCCAGGCTCTGTCGGATGGTTTCTGAATCTGATCGACTGGAGTTGAGGTCCAGAACAGCTTGCTGGGTATCATTCAGTCCAGATGTCATGTCACTCACATCATTCCAGAACCTGACTGCCAGATCCAGGAGATTGAGAAGCCACTTCTCCCTCTCCTGAGCTTGTCTTTGAGCCTCCTCCCAGCAGCTTGTTAGACTGCAAACCCGGTCTTGAATAGCTGAAATTGCCAAGATCATCATAGACAGACCATGCTTATGAAACAATAGTGTTTATGAGATGTTTTAGCATATAAAGCTGTATGTGCCAGAATATGTATGCGATTCATGTTTTGAGGTACCTGTGCCAATGGAACTGTCCCCAAGAGCCCCTGTGTTGGTAAGGAGCTCCTGAGCCTGTGTCCTCACACTGCTGAGGTCCAGATCCATTTTTGAGAGCTCAGACAATGTGTGCTTGTTGTCCTGTAGCTGCTCTTGAATTCGTGGGGAGAGGCCTTGAAGAGCCATTGAGGCCTGCAGGTGACTACACAGACGCTCCACGCTCTCTCCGATCAGAGTCATCCTCTCATTCAGCTGACATGGACATGCAGAGTTTCAGGAGTGAGCTAGCATTTATGCAGCTAAAATGTGGCAATGTTGTCTTTCTATACCACTTTAGCAACATAAAACATATGGCTTCTTTGAAAACAGGTTATATCAGTGTAGTGCATCAGCGGGTTGCATTCCTGTAGTTCAGCTGAGCATGGCGTTAGCAACACCAAGTTCATGGGTTCAAATCCCCGGAATGGTATAAACTGATATATATACTGCAAGTTATGAAAAAGCTTTAAATAACAGGTTAATCTTTTAAACCTTCTCAAAGTGTCCAGTACACTAGTCTCAGCATCTACAATGGAGTTTTGGGGCATTCATCAAAAGTAGGTCCCCTCTGTGAAGGTCTGACTTATTCAAGTTTAAGAACCTCTGATTTATAACTACAAACCATGTTAAACCAACTACCATAAGAAGGCGATTTAGCTGGATTCTCCAGTATGTGTTATGGAGAAAAGTCTTCTCTGTCTTGCAAAATAATGCTCAAGAAGTTCGAGTTCAAGAAGTCAAAATTGGACTTTACTGCAAGAAGACAATAAATCTGAGACCTCTGCAGAACATCTGATTCACTTTCAGCTCAACCTTTATTACAGTTTTCAACCAATGATCTTATTGCAGGTGTTCTCCTCCCAATACTCCCTAACTCTTCACCTCATTAATTGGTCTTTTGTTCTCTTGTAAGGGTGGCAGACTGCCAACTAGCCTATGTCAAAACATATCACAAAGTGACTATTTGGTGTATTTGCCTCATCATTTTTATCCAAAGAACATGTTGAAGGCCATGTGGCCCAAAAGAGCAACTTAGTATCACCGCGGATGCCATCCACAAGCAACTTCAGCCAAAATCCCATTCTTTCCCGTGTGACTTCTCTCACAGTCATGTAGGCCATGAGGCCTTCAAAACACATCGGCTTTTACAGCATTCAAACTACTTCTACAATTGTTTTCTATAGAATAAATAAAATATTTCATCATATGCACCCGGAATCAGCATTGAATCTACATGTGTGTCACCTGTGTATAGCGGGGCAGAGACTCCTCCAGTACTCCAGCAGCTTCTCGAACCCTGTCTCTGATGGCCAGATGCTGCTCTTCAGTGTCCCTGGCTTTCTGGCAGAACTCCTCTCCCTGAACTGCATTCAGGTCTGATAGACGCTGGGCCAGCATGATCAGCCGTGCTATCAGTGGCTTATGCTCTGCTATGGACTCCCTGATGCCCTGTTTGGACGTTATGCAGCAACACGATCAAACATTGATGTTTGTATTACTTTATCTGAAACAACTAATGAAGTCTTATAATTGCAATACAAAGTTAATATACTGAATACAGTGTGATGGCTATTCAAATCCAATGTGTTTGAACTTGCACTTGTACTATAGCAAATGTGGGCCCAAACATGAGCATCTGTTGTTAATATCTTGCTCTGAAGAAGCAAGTTTTTTAGTACCTGTAAGAGGTCCTGTTGTTCTCGGAAAGCCTCGTAGCTGATGGTGTTCAGGGTAAACAGGCCAATAAGGGCTTTGGTTTCCTGTAACCATGGTAACACCTCAGCATAGCCCTCTGAGAACTGAGACAAGAGCGACTGAGCATGCTCCAGTTGAAGCAAGACTTGGGAATTAGTGGCAGTAGTGACCTGGCACTGCTCCTGTAAGGTGTCTAGGGAAGACTTTGGAGGGGAAAAGACAGTAGTATTATGTTGGTTCTTATGCCATGGAAAATGTTTCAAAAGGTATTAAGAATGAATATTAGCTTACCTGGAGTCTCAGTGTCTCCCCATCCTCAGTGTACATCTGCAGGAGTTCCAAAATCTTCACCATTTTCTCAATGTTAAACTTGTGCTGCAGAATCTCCACAGCAAGTATCTGCAGAAAAACAGACATCATATGGATTATTTTAAAGAATTTTACAGAATTTCTAGTATATGCACAGAGAACATCATTGTGAATGTGCAAAAACTCACTTTCTGCTCATTGAGCTCGGATGCAATGATGTCTGGGTCCAGATTAATGGCTCTGAGCTCCTCCAGTGCCAGTGAGGTGTCTCTAAACCAAGCCAACTCTTTCTCAACAGCCTGTTCCAGCTAATCAAATGCAAACAGGCTGATAGGTAAGCAGGCATTTAGCAGCTGTATTTATCCAAAATGACTTACAGTACACTTCAAGCAACCTGAGGTATCCACCTGTCTCTTACCTTCTGCCTCTCAGAAGAACACAAGACTGCATCTCCAGTCTCAGTCTGGGCAGCAGGAGCCAGCAGCTCTCTCTCGATTCGACCAAGCCAAAGGTGGAGGTCTTCCTGACTGGAGGTACATCGACTAGATGCCTCCAAAGCCTGTTCCAGCCTCTGCAGGACATCAGCACTACCCAGACTCATCACTGAGTACCGAATACGCAGACTGTCTACCCGCTCCTGCACCAGCTGGGTTTCCTCCTCTTTAGATTAGCATGTGAAAGATTGAAACATGTTTGAAACATGTCCTTGTGGGCACTATGCAAGGTTAAGTGTATGCAATGACACAAAATGGGAGGAAACACCACCTGAAATCTTTTCCATGAGCTCATAAGCACATTGTTGGAGTTTCCCCAGGTCGACACTCTTAGCTTTTATCTCTTCCATGACTGCCTAAAAGGTGATAGAGAAAGGCTATTTCGTTCCACACTGAAATCTTGTAGCATACAAATGTATTAACGGATAAACAAAACATTTTCTAATGTTTTGCTGACCTTGGCCTGTCCTGTGGCTTCTTGCAAATGGAGCATCCCTCTCTCTGCAGAGCGGAGCTCAGCTAAGTCCTGATCCACAGATATAAGCCATTGCTGAAGTCTGTCTGTCCTCTCCTGGAATAGCTGAGCTCTTGGCAGAATGTCCACCAGAGTCCTGTGTCTGTGAAAACAAATTAATTGTCAAAACAAAACACATTACATCACTAACATCAGATTTACCCACCCAAAGCATCAGGTAAAAAAGTTGTGGTTGGCTCTTTTATGTCGGTCAAACAGCCCCAACTACGTGGGTCTTCCTGGGGCCAAAATGTGGACCAATGTGTCAACCAGACTGACCTGCTGTTGGCGCCCTGAAGTAGAGCCTCCCACTTGAGCTCGAGCTGTGCAAGCTGCACTTTGGTCTTTTCACTGTCATTTCCCTGAAGTCCCTCTGCCAGGTGTGGACCCTCCTGCATCATGGTCTCCATACTTGGTCTCCTGTCCTCTAGGAGGCGCTGTAAGAACTGCAGGGCAAGAAACTTATTATGTTTATTATGCTGAAGGAATTTATTATGCTTCCTCCAAGGGCAGGGGCTTGCAAGCAAGTGGTTCTCAATCCTGGGATGCTTCTCAATATTCAAACTGATGCCAGAGATTGTCTTAATATAGGGAGATGAGAGGGTCTGTATTACTTACTATTGGAGAAAGCGTAATGGCTAACTTGGATCACGTGTGGCGTAATAACCAATCACATAATAGCCTTGACATCACTGAATTTCAGTCAGAGTTGTGCGACACTCAATTGCTGTTTACGGATACCATAGAAATGAATGAGAAATGCCGTAAGCTGAATCCCACCTGTCGCAAAAAGTCAGTGACTTCTCTTATAAAATGGCATTTTTTTTCGGTGTAAACTCTAAAAATAGTTAAATCCAAAAGTATTGCTTAGTGTAAAACATGTTGAGGATTAGCCGATAGGCTGTGGATTAATTAAATGATGAGCTGTTTCCTCTAAAAAGCTGTTTATTCAGCGTAGTGAAGCCTAAGCTAAGATGCGAGGAAAGGTAACGAGGAAAGGAAACGAGGATGCACAAATAAGAAATGAGAAGCACCCCTGGTCTTGGAGATGTCTAGATCAACGCTGCTCCTAGGTCAACCCTTCAACCCTGCTTCTGGGGACCCACTGTCCTGCAACTTTATCTTCAACCTGCTTCAGCACACCTGGCCTGTGATTTTTCAAGTTATCCTGAAGACCTTAATTAGCTGTTCAGTTGTGTTTGATTAGGGTTGTAGTTAAACTCTGCAGAACAGTGGGGAGACTGTCCTCCTCCAAAAAAACGACCCAATAGGTTGTTTTTGCAAGCCAGTGTTGCCAACTTCTCTCAACTGAAAGTAGCTAAAGCCCGCTTGAAAAGTCACTAAATGTCGCTAGATGACGTCATACACAATGTAGCATATTAACAACCTTATTGTGTCATATTTCCTTTTGCATTTGTTTGCCTCTCTGTGCTCACAAACTGTTTTAATGCAGCCAAATTCTCAATAAAATAGTTTTCATTAATATATATTTCTATTTCTGTTGTCAGACAATGGGATGAATATGAAATAGTGACTGAAACGTGGCCCATTAAGACTCCATAACCAGCTCTCCCTTCCAAGATGTAATCTGCACAAAAATCTTGATTTACTGTATAATCGAGCCGTCATCTAATGAAATCAAATACACATACGATAAAAGACAATGGCTGTGCTGTGATTTCGGCTATGTTTGCATGTAAAATAGAGTTCGAAGCAACAGAATATCTTTTTTTAACTGAAAGCACTGCTCCTCACAGCCGCTTGCTAAACAGAACAGACGCAGAGGTGTGTGCGCGCTGGCAAAGCAAGACCTCGTGCAGCAGTACTGGTGAGGTTTAGAAACTGAATAAGGTTTGTCCAAGAAGTCGCTGGATTTGTCGCTAGGCGCTTTTTTGGAAAAAAGTTGCTAAAGGGGTCCGAAAAGTAGCTAAATCCAGCGACAAAGTCACTAAGTAGGCAACACTGGTGCAAGCAACTTATTACGACCTATATTTACGTTTTAAAGTTAAGCGCCCTCTAGCTGACGCAAAAATAATGACAGTGTTGTGTTGCGTCTGCTGTCATGACTAATACTGACTAATACTGTCATGATGACCAATCAAATTGTGTGTTCATTTAAAGGCAATGTGTGGACTTTATATACGGTCCCTTACCCACCATTTGTCTCATTTCCATTTCGCAAAACACATTTACATTAATGCATTTGGCGATGTGTTGGAAAGTGATTTATAGTGCATATACATTTTATGAGCATGTGCATTCCCTGGGATCGAACCCATAATCGCATCATAAAGTAATGCTCTACCATTTGAGCTACACAAAACACAAATTATGATGCAAATAAAAGGGTACAATGTATTAATAAGAAAGTGTGCTGTTGTCGATAGAAGCACAAATTTAGTAGACGCTCTGATGGGTCGTATTTCAGGGAAGCGACAAACGACCCATACAGTTGGAGGACATGTTGGGAATTGCCTTCCTAATACAGTTTTGTAGAACACCCCCTTTTGCGTCTTCAAATATGCTTTGTATGAGGAAGCAAACACACATTTGGTTCATAGAGGTATTGCTCCTTCTGAGAATCTACAAGCTTTATAATGCACCTTGTTCTCTCTTTGTGGTACTTAAGCCAAACACTTGTATCATGTGTCAGAGGATCATTGTGATCATTCAGGTATGTTTTACCTTACTCACTAAGCTAACAAAGATCTCAAAAGATCTCAAAAAGGTGAATTATTTTCCCCCCACCCATTCCCATATCATACACAAAGGCATTCAAAGCTTATTATATGCATGAACTTAGACAGTATGCTTCTCAGTTCAAGAAAAGGTTAAGGATGGGATTAGAAATTACATGACAAGGCTTTAAAATTGGGTAGCCTTTTTTATCAATAGTTTATGTAAATATTAATGTATTAGTTTATTGTTTGTTGGTTTATATAGCTACAGCTTTTTAACAAGGTTTTTAACATACCTTCTGTTCTTGCAGCTGCGCTTTCACCACTTTAAACTCTGAGGATGGTGGTTTTTGATTGGCTGTCAGCTCCTCAATCTCGCAGACCCACGTCAGCAGCGTTTCCAGATTTTGCTGGAATTTCAACGGATCCCTGAACTCATCTTTCAGAGCCAAAACACTGCTGCCATCCTTAACATAAGACCAGACAATATGCTATCACGTTTTCATAAAGAAAGTACAGGTTAAGGAAAGATCAGTATACTGTACCTTCCATTGATCTAGACTTGATTCCTGGTCTGAACTTGACTGACCATCACTCTGCAGCTGTGAATTTGTGAGAATTGTGAAACAATTTTATTTAATTGGAAAGTGAACAAATTGGTGAAACATTGTTGATACATTGACTTCAAAATCAGTTAAATAAAAAAATGGTAAATGATGGTAAAAAAAAAAGAAAGAAAGAAAAACATTAAATTTAAAATAAATGTAAATTAAATTGAATAACCTCTGCAAGTTCCTCAGCAGCTCCAGTAAGGACTCTAACAGTTCTAGTAACAATAGGGTCACCTCCTTTCCCCGCAGGAGGATACTCTGTCACCTCTACAATCTCGGTAACAATTGTCTCTGTCACCTCTGTGACTTCAGTAACCTCTCGAGTGTTCAGAGGCTTCCAGGACCAGGGACTTCCAGAATCCTTTCTCTGCAGGCTGGCTCTCCTGTCCACGGATCCATACTGACTCAGGGGGGATCTTCTGTACTCTGGAATATTACACATTCTGGGCAAAGACCCATTTCGTGGTGTTTTTACCGGGGACGGAGTGCTTCGCCAGGCATTGTCCAGAGTGCTGGTTGTAGTGACAGTAGGGGCTGGGGAACTCCTCTGCTTGTCCGGTGTTGGAGTTTGTCGAAGAACCTCTTCCACATCCTCTTTCCTTGTTTCTTCTCTAGGTGGCTCTGGGAGCGGCCATTCTCTCCGTTGCTGGTAGCACTCTTTCAAGACACTCTCCTCTGACTTAACTTGTTTGGACTTTTGTCCCAAACAGCTAGGTCTGCTAATGAGGTTACCCATGATTCTTCAATCCACGGGTTAATTGGGTCCCTGTGCCATACATACAGGCGTCGCCTAAACTACCTACAACACAAGGAAGGTCAAAGTGAGAAGATACTCTTTAAACATCTATACCCTTTCAAGGAAATAGTAGTCTATTAGTTTCCAGTTTCCACTGCAGTCTTCAAAAGAGATTAATCCAGCTCTAACAAAGACCACTAAGCATAAATCTCAATTAGATTCCTTGCTGTCCTACAAAGGAGAGTCTTTTACCACTTTCACGCCAACAAACACCACCGTCATTATTTATACGACAGAGATGGTAACACTTGACTGAGGCTCTGTCCTGACCAAGAGGGGCCAGATTACTGCTGGAAAACTACAACATGAACACAGAATTGCTAGTACTATCCATACAAATGCAACTGACAAGCCTGTTTATGAGGGCAGTCTCCTCCAGGATACCCACAGCTCCTCCTGGCAGCCACAGCCACTGTCCTTTGCCAAGACTATCCGCGGGGTGGCCCTGGGAAACCATTTAGCTCCTGATCAAATATGACAGGCACGGAAATGCTGCTTCATTTCTTTTCCACAGAAGAATGAACACTGTTTTTTTAGTGCACGTGTTCATGGTTTACTGGGAAACACAGACCACATGCCTGAGGAGCAGGACAGCGATGAACACGTAGACACACACTGAGTTTAATGTTCAGAAACCCTTTTAGAGATATTTTTTCAACTTAAGGTGAATTTCTGTGGTTGAAATTCATGCAGGCCTTTACCAGTGATCATCGTTGACTAAATTACTGTCCTGTGGCCTGTAGCACGAAGCCGGATTCAGTTTTACCCAGGTAAGTTCACGTTTAGTTTGAGCAAACTCTGAGTTTTCGGACTCAAGAAGATGGTTTGGTTCTGAGTGGGTTTCGTCACCATGGTAACTTACGCTACACAGCTACCCTGCTCCGGAGCAGGTTTTATTCTGGGATAGAGACCGCAAACCCAAACTGGACCAATCAGCTGTGAGCAAAGTGACATATATCTGATGCAATGAAGCAACTCCCCTATATCTCTCGCTCCAAACTAAAGCAGTTTACTTTCAAATAATTTTAGAGACAAATTGCCCGACTTTTGCAGCTACTTATTTAATTATATTTATATTATATTAATTGTAATTGTTTATAATTCATATAATATATTCATATAATTATTATATGAAGTGGCAATTAATTTTAAGCTTCGTATTTAAATTAAATTAAATATATATACAGTATGTAAGTGTTTATTACTCTGCGACTCTGAGTTTGTTCAACTCGCTTCGTGCTACAGGCCACAGATGAATAGGAAATGTACATATTTGTAAAATAAAAGATTACAGGCTGCTTTGTGTGGATTACAATAGCACAATTAATAAAAAAAACATGCAACAGTGCTATTTCAGTGCTCATAGAATCTGCCTGAAGATTGCAGGTGGTAAGTAAATATGTACCTGTTAAGTGAAGAAAGATTACTTTAGTGCTGTCAAACGATTAATCGCGATTAATCACATCCAAAATAAAAGTTATTGTTTACATAATATATGAGTAATATACTATGTATATTTATTATGTATATATACAAACACATGCATACATATATTTAAGAAAATATGCTGTTTCTATATTAAATATATTTATATATAATATAATAATATAAATGTATATACATGTAAATATTTTCAAAATATATACTGTATGTGTGTGTGTTTATATATACATAATAAATAAACACAGTACACATACTGTACATATAGCATGTAAACAAAAACTTAGTTTGGATGCGATTAATCGTTTGACAGCACTACTTTCTTTATCTACTTTGTCGCAGATGTAGAGTATGTGCATACTGAAATCTCTGACTTGTAATTGCATAATGTCTGCGCAAAGACATTGTTTTCTGCACAAAACCTGTTTTGCTTTAAACCTAACAAATTTGCAAACCTTTTATCTTAAAGAATGCAATGACACGTTAACCTTTGGGCTGATGGTTTTGTTTGTGCAGGAAATACAGAGCTCTGTTGAATTCAGCTAAGCGTGCATGTTAATTGCACAGGTGATTCCAGGTCATTGTGGTTCACTGCATGCTAATGGCGAGTGCTGAGGGATCTGGCTCCAGACAGCAGACAGACTCAGTGTTTCTAGATCACTAGAGCAGAAGACTTAGTATCAGCCCACATTCTAGCAGGGTGGATTAGCTTGTATAATGTATGAATTGAGATTGCTAACACATGACAGGAAATACTGTAATGATGAGTTTGATGCTCTGGACGCTAGCTTATAAACTGATTAAGCTAAACAATTACTAAGATCTCTATGAAATAGCTTTATTTATTCTCATTGTTCATATTTCATCAACACTACAGCAGAGATACTGGTGAATATTAAAAAGAAAGATTTTTCTTCATTTGGTTTCCATAAAGTGAGCACATACAATCTATGTAATCAATCTGAACAATATCGCCGTCGACAAATGCTCTTCCTCAAATCAAGTTTAATTATATTAACTCATTCCATCCATCTCACGCCCAGCCTACATCCTTGATGGATTACACAAGGAGGATGGGAAGGAGTTTACACTGAAGCTACAGCCATTTGAATATAAAGATTTACAAGCATTATTACACCTGCAATGTCTGTTTCCACGGAGTTAGAGGTGACACAACATTTTACACCTCAATGCTGAACATTTCAATAGAGGTGATGCCATCTTCTGCATCCGATCATCTAAATGAGCTAATTCCCCTGCTCAAAACACCAGCTTAGGGCATAGTATAATTTCCAGGCTGGTGTATTGTGGATGTTGTTTGTTTGGTGCTGTGTAAAACTGAGCTAGTGATGTTGGTCAATCTGCAAGGTTTTTCTGGTGATTCTGTTTGACCATTGAGGTCTTGCTGGTTAAGCTACTCAAGAAACCTTGTTGTAGCAGCACACTAAGATCCACCGATCTCCAAAACAAAACATACAGTGCAATGGTGACCAGTTCAGTGCCTGAACAAATTAATGTAATTGTCTAAAGCTTGAGATAAATTATACAGATTGATTCTCCTTTGCTTGTTTATCAAGAAGCAGCCTCACTCTTAACCCAACTCTAATGTATTGTCTGATTTAAGACCACCCTGTGTAGCCTCTTGATATTGATTTATGAGGCATGTCACAGACTGGCCCCCAGTGAGCTAGATTAACCGCTGTGATGGACAGCTTTGTGCATCAACAATCCATAAAGAATGATTAATATAGTCTAATCTCTGACAACAACTGACTCAAACGGAAGGATTCTTGTCATATTCTAATGAATGATATATCAATCAAATAAAGGCGGCAGAGATGCTCGACTCTGCCTGTCATAGCAATGGGTGTGGGTACTGTCAGAGAGCACCATGACAATACCCTTTCCTAATCTATCCTCAATATGGCAGACAGACAGTGTATACTGGTGTCATGCCACATTCCGCTGGTGGATTAACTTGTATATGGAGCAGTGAGAGTGGTGGCTCTCTTGGGATGTACTTATGTCTTTTATGGATTCCTTAATAGTCATAAATCAACGCTCTCTGTGTAGGTGAGTTCGTGCAGTGATCATGATTTCTCTAATTAACAAAAGAGTGTCTGGTGTTACGTGAATGCATAACATGAATAAACTGCATAATTAATATACTATATTTTAGTTGAACTGATGTTATATGTTAGGCAACATGTTAGTACACAAATTAAAAGTTGATTCAGTTCTAAAAGTTTATAATAATAAAGAAACTGCAGGGAAGAATATACAATTATATTATATATTTAACTTCAATAGCAATGAATATTACTAGATAAATAGATACTCACGGTACAGTGAAATGAGCTAATTACATCCAAATCCTCGCAAGCTGTTTCTACCCGTACCAAATTTGTGCCACAATCACCTTCAGTGAAATTTCAGTGGTTCTGATAGCATCACTGTCTGGCTGCATCCAAAGCAGCTGCTGGTTTCAGTGAGAAAGTTTGAATGAGTCCAGAAAGAGGTGGCGGTTGTGGCGGTTGGGGTGCATACTTACCCCTGTGCATAGAGGAGGACAAACGGCCAAACGAACAATTCCACAAGTTCCTCCGTCATCATTCAAATGGGAGAACAAAAAAACCTGTCTTCTCTCAGCATCCTTTGAGAGGCCTTCCTTTCCAGACGTATAAACATGCGAAAACCTTCACATTCACTTGCTCAAACAGGATCTCACTTGCTCACAAATCCCGGTTTAAACGCGCACACACACACACACACACACACACACACACACTTTATGCAAGATGACCCATGCTTTTCCGTCGCCCACAGCCACAAGCAAACAATGTCCCTCTCTCCCTCCGGCTGCCCCCGCCCGTCAGCGGTATTCTCTCTCTCTTGCCTTTGTTGTGCCCAGTCCCATAGAGGAGGAATTCCTTGCTGAGGCAACCCACGGGATGTTCAGCTGCTGGAAAAGTCCTGTATGCTGTGTTTTCCGAGCTCCAGGATAGCAGGTGTTCCCCGTCCGGTGGTTTTGGTAGAGTTAAGGCAGGTCCATAAGTCGGCAGCCTGTTGTGTGAACTCTTGTGCCAGACATTTAGACAGAGGAGCAGTCCCTTCACCTCCCTCTTTCCCTCCCAGCGTTAGCCCCTCCCCCAGCTCCTCTTTTGGCTCACAAACTCTGCTTCAAATTAAAACGAGGAGGATAAAAAAGCTTTCTAAAGACCCCCAGGCTGCTCCCGAATATTCACATGTTAAGTGACAGCTGCCTCCAGCCCCTCGCTCTCGTTTTTCCCTCCCTCTCCGGGGCAGACCGAGGCGGGCTACAAAAGGAGCCAACCATCCCGCACACAAAGCCTCCATCACCATTCAAAGCCCCCGCCACAGCTACAAAGACGACTAATTACTGTAAGACATCTCTGATTACTTTCAAGTCACTTTCAGTCCCGAAATTGGCAAACAAACAACGAACAGTAGAGAAACCAATAGAGCGAAGGACTCGGCCGCGTCTGGCTGAGTTTCATGGGAGTTGCGTGATGCTGCGTCTCCACTTTTGGAGTCTTTTCTGC